GTCCAGCCTTCTAAATTATCTGCTCTGCATATAGATTGAAAAGGTATAGAGAAAAGATACATCCACAACCATTCTTTTCCTGATTTTGAACCATACAGTGTTCCCTTACTCTGTCCGGACAAGAGCTTCTTGGTCTATGTATATGTTGCCCTACTCTGACCAGCAGCAAGTGCTGGCAATGGAATCAACCAAACTAGAGTCACAAGATCAGATGTTACTTACTGTTTTTTATTTGCTGATCCTTATTATTTATAAGATCACATCCACATTATAACTTTTGAGATAGCATGAGAATGTTTTCTCTGAGATACACACACATACACACACACACACACATAAATAAGGCAGAATACTGTAATTTACTCAATAACCCACATCTTTGTTTTGTTGAACAATTTCCCATTTACTTAATATTTTCCTTGTTTTTCCACAATATGCACTTCTATAGCTCCCTCTTTAACAGAGATTTCTTGAATTACATTCTCTCAATCCAAGCAACCCTCATTGTAGCTGAATTGTGAAGATTTTTTGTGTTTCTTTGTACTAGTTTTTGATCTACATTAGAAAATGCTTCAAGTCTTCATTTTCTGTGAGCAAAGTTACAAACCACATGATGTTATTGAGACGTTTTCCACTCTGATGTTTCATTCTTGTTCCCCAGATTATTTGCTCAGCAGATAGACGGAATAAATATAGTTGAAAGGATACAACTCTGACAAACACCTTTCCAATTTTAAACCATCCAGTATCCAAGTCTTATGTTTAAAGAACTGCTTCTTGGTCTATGTACAAATTCTGCATGAGCACAATTGTTCCAGAATTCCCATTCTTCTCAATGTTATCCATCATTTACTATAAACCCACAGTTTAATGCCTTTGTATAGTGACTATTGAGATATATCAACAAAGAGATGCAGCTCTGGACATGCTCACCAGGTTATGCCAAGAAATCTGGAGGACAGCTACCTGGCAACTGACTGGAAGAGGCACAAATTTATTCCCATTTCCAAAAAAGGTGATCATACAGAATGTGGAAATTACCGAACAATATCACATACAAGCAAAATCTTCCTGAAGATTACCCAAAAATAACTGGAACAGCACATCAACAGAGAACTGCCAGAGATACAAGATGGATTATTTTAAATTGTGATTTTAATGAAAGCTTACAGAATGGTTGTGTTTTAATTCATTCATTGTTGCACATTTTCCTTCACAAGCTAGAAGAGGCCATGACTCTAGCATTATCATTACTGATGTCAGATGGATCATGGCTGAAAGCAGAGTATCAGAAGGATGTGTATTTGTGTGTTTTTTATTCACAGTGTGGATCATAACACCTTGTGGATAACGTTAAGAAGAATGTGAATATCAGAACGTCTCTGCTCATGTAAACCTCATACATAACAATATTTTGTGAGGATAGCACAGGATCTGCCAATGTTTCATGCTGTTGTACATAGAATCATCATGGGTCAGAACTGAGTCAATGACACCAAATAATAGCTACTGCTTTTAACAAGAAAGCCTAAAGATAACTGAGCTTACAAACAAGTTAATTTAGAGGCTATTGATCCCTTCACAAATTGACCCAGTACATGTTTATTTGTTTCTTGTGACTGCTTGTCATGGGTGAATTTGTCAACCTCCAAAAAGACAAAGTTCCAACATCTAGCATTCATGAGTGTACCTGTTGTAAATACAGTCTTTGCAGATGGAATTAGTTAGGATAATATGAGACCAGGCTGCGCCTTGGAGGCAAGGATTCTGAAGCTTTGTCTGACATACTTTGGACATGTTGCAAGAAGGGACCGGTCCTCAGAGAGGTATATCATGCTTGGGAGGGTGGAGGGACAGCGCAGGAAGGGAAGACCCTCAGTGAGGTGGACTGATTTGGTGACTGGAGTAATGGGGTTAGGTGTGTCAGAGACAGTGCGATTAGCACAGGATAGAGCAGGTTTTAGGGCTGTTGTACTTGTGTTGTACATGTCACTATGTGTTGCAGGCAACTCAATGGCATATAACAAAAACAGCTACATGGATCATAAAGTGGGATCTAATCCAATAGTGGAGTTCTGGTGTCCTAGTGGTAAGAAGTTGCACTGGCAACCCAAAGGTTTGGAATCAAAACCAAAGTTTTCTAATCACCAGCTGCTCTGTGGGAGAAAAAGATGGACAGTCTTCTCCCATGTGATTAGTTGACTTGGGTTGATACAGACTCAGTGGCACTCAACAACAATCCACTATGCATGATGCTCTAATAAAAGAGAATCTACGAACACATAGATAAAGAGGAAAGACATGAAGATGGAGACAGAGATTGAAATGATTTGTCTACAAGCCAAGAAATTCTTGTAGCTACTGGAGGCTGGAAGAGACAAGAAGGATTCTTACTATGACATGGACCTGCTCAAACCCTGAATTTGGATTTCTGGCCTGCAGAACTTTTAGAGAATATATTTCTAGTGTAAGCCATTTGCTTTGTGGTACGTTGTTATAGCAGCACGAGGAAGCTCATTCAGTACTCTTTGTTATACATTACCACAAATTGAACACCTACACACACATACACTGACATGCATCCCTATTATCTTAAGGTACTTTATGTCAGAAGTTAAAAATTGTCCTCAGTAGCTTAAAACAAGTTGTGGTCCTTTGGGAGGCGATAAGAATGATCCTTGGTTTTTCCAGCTTCTAGAAGCATCTGGCTCCTGGCATCTATCTACATCTTCAAAGTCAGCAATGTAGCATCTCCAAATCTTTCTCTAATGCTGACCTCTTCTTCCGTCATCTCATCTCTTTTGCCAATTCATTTAAAAACCCTGGTGGTTGCACTGGACCACTTAGATCATCCTACACGTTTTATCTCAGTCTGTACTTATCACATCTGTAAAGGCCCTGGTAACACACAAGATAACATAGGCACAGTTTGCTGGAGTTGCACTTCTTTGGAGAATGGTTTTCTGTTGACTACCTATGCTTCTATCAAGATGTTACGGGGCCATGTGACCTCTGTGGCCTTTGTTTCCTCTTGTGTAACATGGGTTGCTTTGATGTCTAAATGAGCTGATACAAGTGAAGATCTTGATTTAGGCCCAGACTCCTGGGGGTTCCTACTCCCACCACCTACCACCTGCTGCAACACCTTTGTTACCAAAAGTTCATAGATGAAGCCAGTGAGCCATCTGGAAGAAAGCAAACCTGTAAGGCTTGATGGCATTTCACAATAGACTGAGTCTTCTTTCCCTACGTGATGAGGCTGTCATCCCGTCTGCCCTGTACTGTGCGCAGTGGGGTCCTCCCCTCACCCCGTGGCCTCAGTGAGGGCCTCTGAATCCTGAGCAGGCTTCCATTCACTATGTGCCTGCATCCACTTCACCACAGGTGATGCCTCTCCTGTGCTGAACCACGCAGCCGTCCCACTAATTTCCAACAAGATCTGCAACCATAAGGACGTGTATGGTGGCATCATCTCACCCTCCATGCTCTGTGCAGGCTACCTGAAGGGTGGCATCGACAGCTGCCAGGTAAGGAGGAGTACGGTGACCTCTGGCTTTGGCCACAAGAAGGATGCATTTCTTCTATTGTGACACAGCCCAAGGGATAGGCCACCACCAGTGTTCCCTGTGACTGATCCAAAAGCAAATTTACAATGTGTGGGAAAGACATTTGCTTAAGATACTGTTTTCTCTCCTGCCTGGCTTAGGCAATGTTTGCAAAGGTATCCCCAGCCCCCAGCCCTGCCTTGGAGTCAGGTGGAGGGAAGTTTCTTCTGAGTGGTTTCCTGCCCCGTTTGGTTCTCAGAGTTTGCAGAGGAATTAAGGGGTGGAGGAGTCCTGGGGTGACACAAGTGGTTAAGTGCTTGGTTGCTTATTGAAATCTTAGTGATTTGGGTCCACCCTGAGGGGCCTTGGAAGAAAGGCCTGGTGATCCACTTAGAAAAGATCACAGTCACTGACATCCTCGTGGAGCACAGCTCCACTCTGACACACAGGGAGTCACCAGGACTTGGAACTGACTCCATGGCAAGTGGTGAAGGAGGAATGGGAACACAAGTGGGAACTGGTGAATTCAGGTCTCCAAAAGCCATGGTTGGTAGGAGCTCCAATACTCCCCAGTGGCCCATTTCAGGTCAGCTAAAAGCCCCAGCCAGATTGCCTCTCCCCCATGCTATCCCCAGCCACTGCCCTTGACCTTCATGAAGGAAGTGTATCTGGAGTCTGACAGGAAGACAGACCGGGAGGAAACTATACTGGAGGGGTTGGGGGTCCTCCACTCTGAGAAGCACTAGGGTCTAGTCTAGGAAGTCTCTGGGGTGTGTGAGCAGTGCCGTCCTTGGGCCATGTTCCTGTAACCCTGGAAAGGGGACTATAGCCATGACTTGAAGGCCATGTTGCAGTGTCTGTTCTGCTGACCTTTGTCTACCTCCTTCCCTTTAGGGGGACAGTGGGGGACCTCTGGTTTGCCAAGAAAGGAGGGTGTGGAAGCTGGTGGGAGCAACGAGCTTTGGGATTGGCTGTGCTGAGGTGAACAAGCCCGGAGTCTACACTCGCATCACTGCCTTCCTGGACTGGATCCACGAGCAGCTGGAGGTGGGTGCGTCACTTGCTAGCTAACCCTTCAACTACCATGCAGACCTGCTGTAAAGAACCAGGGATGGTAACTGATTGTCCAATTAGCAAGCCAAACACTGGGTTAGAGGGTTGAAGGCATCTCAATGGCATAGCAAGCTGGAGGTTGGGAGGCTAAACACAAAGTTAGAGGTTTTCACTCACCAGCTGCTCTGTGAGAGGAAGACTGGCAGTATCCTCTTGTAAAGATTTACAACCCTGGAAGGTTTACAGAGAATGGAAGGTCACCGTGAACTATAACCAACTCCATGGCAGGGGTTTGGATATGAGGCAGTATTGCATGTAATGTACTGAACTGCTTATCAAAAGGTCAGCAGTCAGAATTCACCAGCCACTTCTTGGGAGCAAGGTTAAATTCTTCTGTAAAAATACACAGCCTGTAAAGATGACCATGACGGAAGCTCTCCAGGAACTGGAACCTACTCAGCATTGGTGGGGTTAGACGACAGATCAAACAGGTACAGTGAGTTAGACGCTTGGCTGCTCACCAAAACAATGGCAGTTAAAACTCACTCTGCTGCTCCTTAGGAGAAAGAGATATCAGTCTTTTACCTTCAGGATTTACAGCCTTGGAACCCCTGTGGGGCAGTCCTTCTCTGTCCTGTATGATCGCTGTGAGGGAAATGCCTCCCAGCAGTGGGTGGTGGTGGGGGAGGGTTTGGGTTGGTATCAGATCAAGGCCCCTGAGTTATTCAGTTTATGCTTAGCTACTCACTGAAAGGAAAAGCCCTGGTAAGTGACGTCTTTAAAGACTACAGTCTTCTCGTAGAAATGTTAGAAGAAAAATATTTTCCATGGTGAGGTAGTGTGTAACTTGTCAGGTTGCTAACGGAAGTCAGTGATTTGAATCCACAGCTCCATGAGAGAATTATGGATGGTCCCTTCACAAAGATTTATAGCATCAGGAACCTAATGGAAGGTTGTGTGAGTTATAATCAACTCGATAGTGAGGTTTGGAATGGTTATCTGATGTCTAACTTTTAATAGAACTAGTCATTTCTTCTGAAGGTAAATGTGGATCCTTTCAGGAGTCCACACATTTTGAGGAGATTTTCCCATTTAGTGAAGTGCATTGCCTGCCACACCACCTTCCTTTGCACCCAGTAGTTTCTTTGTATCACCACCTCCACCACCACTAGTTGATGTCAAGTCAGTTTCAGCTCATGTTGACCCTTGTATGTCAGAGCAGAACTGTATTCTTTAGGGTCTTCAGGGACTGTAAACTTTCAGAAGCAAATTGCCAGGCTTTTCTTCTAAGGCACCTCTGGGTAAATTTGAATTGGCAACATTTTAGTTAGTAAACACTTAACAATTTATACCAGGAGCAACAATTTCAAAACTTCCTGTATAACTTGGGAGGGACTGGAAAGCACTATGCTGTGTGAATTAACTCGGCTTCATAAGCACATATACTGTATAAGGCCATTGTTATAAAAGTAGAAGGATAACTAGTAAAATGTGTATGAAGAGCCAAGGAGGGGAGGGTGGGAAGCAAACGGGTGAGAATGGGCAGAGGGGAAATCATAGGGTCACACGATTTGATGGATGAAGGGAGGGATGGGTAAACAAAATGGGAAAGATGCAGCAAGGATCTGGAAAGACAGGATATTGGTGTGCATAGTTCAATGGTGATTAATTTAATAAAACATAATGAAGGGAATGATTGTATGAAACACAATGTGAATGGAGGATAGTGTGAAACACAATGTATACAACTTTGTACACAAAGCAATATAAAATAAAAATGAAAAACAAACAAGCAGAAACCCCCAACAATTTATATCACCCCAAAACTCCTTTTTAATTGGCTTAAAAATAAAATTATTTTGACTCAAATTTAAATTTAGGAATATGTTACTAAGAGCTGGAAAATTTAAATTAGAAAAATCTCAGGTCGGTGATCAAAATGCAGAATTATGTCTAGTTTGGAGATGGACATCAGTCAGAGGCTGTCTGTGCCCCATTAATCACTATGCTTGGTATAGTCAGACGCTTTGCCCAGGTAAAGACACAGATGTCTACTGGACCATCATGTTGGAAGTTGTTATTGTTGTCTGCCATCAAATCAGAACTGACCTATAGTTGACCCTCCAGCAGGCCTTCAGAGGTAGTAAATGAGAATGGATTGCCTATCTTTGTCTCAAGGAGTACATGGATTCAAATTGCATACCTTTGTGTTGGCAGTACAATTATTAATATCTGGGGCATAAAAGATAACACTTCTATTTTCATTTTTAGAGAGACCTGAAAACTTGAAGAGGAAGGAACAGCCATCACATGGTGTTCCTACCCCGGCGGAGACATCCCATCCTACCATGGCATTGTGTTGGGAACATTGGACAGAAGCACATGCCTTCAGAGCCTCGCTTTCTGTCACTAACAGCAGAGCCACGGGGAGGTGAATCCTTCCACACTCATACACCGAGGACAAAGGGTTTCTGACACCTCCAAACAACCTCTAGGGCATTGGAATAAAATGACCTTGAAGTTCCTTTCTGACCTTCACTGTGAACAAAAGCAGAAATGCTTCTCCACTTGTGCATTGCCTTTTCCCTAGAGGAATCATACAAAATTACTGACAAGACTGGTAAAGGCCATGTGAACAGGACGGGGCTGTCACTTTAAACAGAAGTGTCCACACCAGACTGCAAGAGTGAAGTCACTGTAGATGTAGCCATTCACACATTCTTATCTTTAGAGACCAAACCAAACTTTTCTACTTTAAACGTGTTGTTTCACATGTGGAGAACTTAATCTATTAACTATTCTTTGTAATGCTTACTTCCATTATTTTTTTTTTTTTTGTAGCTTTTGATGTTTGATGTAGTATTGTCACTTGCTTCTGAAGGGACAATGTCCCTCTCACACATTCATTAAGTAGAGCTTATTGAGTTAATACTGACTGCTCATGTAAATTGAAGTTATAAGCTTAGTTTCAGAGGCTGGATTGCTTTTATCTCTCATCTCTACACATTGTCAATTTTGTATTTTTCTGTTAGAGCAGATTTCTTAAGAGATCAACATTATCTCATACTCTATCACAAGACTCAGAATAAGAAAAGGCTAAGTACTGGAGTAAAACTGGGTTATTGAGACCCCACACAGCATGTACCAAAGACAGATAGAACACAGCATGACATACCATCAAGAAGACAATGACTTCTCCATCTCTCAGCACGGCTTCGACTAATCAATCATATACTTGTAGATTTAGAGACCCCTCAAGGTTACCACATAGCCTCTGTAATTTCCATAACACACATACACACCACACTCATGTACACACCACACATGTATACACACAACCCAGGAAGGGTGACTTGTTCATGATGTTTTATCACAAATTCATTCATCAGGCTATGAACCATTTGCTTTGCCTTGAGGCGACAGCGGACAGATAGGTAGGTTAAAAGAGAACAGAGGGGAGTTCAGGTGTCTCAGGGAAGGAAGCCTCTCCAGGGAGCTAGGAGGGGCCATGGGTGTCTCAAGAAGAGGTGAGGGGCTGGGATGCAGTTACCTATCACTGCTGTTACTGTTCCAGCCTCTACCAATTACCCAATTCCAAAGCCACATCCACAGTTTAGGTATTCTGCTAGAACAGCAACCCACTCTTCTGTTACCAAGTTCTGTCTTAATTATCTAGTGGTGTTATGACAGAAATATCACAAGTGGGTGATTTTAACAAACAAAAATGAGTTTCCTCACAGTTTTGGGAGCTTGTCGTTGTTATGTATCATTGAGTCTGAACCAACTCATAACTGACACGTCCGTGGGATTTTCAGAGGCAGTAACCACACAGGAGAAGATTGCTTATCTTTCTCCCAAGAAGCAGCTGGTGGATTTGAACCCAGTGCCTTTGAGCTTCACAATTTGAGTACCTTATCACTAAACCATCAGAGCTCCATGTTTAGGAGGCTGGGAATCTAAAATTAGAGCCTTATTGCTGTAGGATCTCTGGTAGCCTAGTGGGTAGGCTGCTGTACTGCTATCCCAAAGGCAGATGGTTCAAAATCCACAGCCCCTCTGTAGGAGATAGATGAGCAGTCTCCTCTGTGTGATCTGCAGTCTCTGGAAACTCACTGGAGGGTCAGCTCTAAGTCTGCTCTGACTTATTGTATTTTTGAGACTACAGTGAAAGGCCTTCTCTCTCTTCTGAGTCTGGAGGAAGTGGCTTGTTTTTTTTAAATTTCTTCTTCCTGGTTCTGGAGATCTCCATGTATCTTGACATCTATTTTACCTCCTCTCTGCTTTTCTCACTAGTGTGTTTAATCTGTCTTTATATCTCTAAAGAGATTGACTCATGACACACTCCTCACCAATCTTGCTTCATTAACTTATCAAACACAGTGCATTTCTAAATGGGATTGTAATCACAGGATAGAAGTTAGGATTTACAATGTATACTTATTGGGGTGTATAACATAATTCAATCCACAACAGGTGCTGAAGGTAAACTGGTCATTTAACAATTTGGATTGAACTCATTGTGTCAAAGTTACTAAATAGACTTCTGTATATATGTCAGAAAATAACAAAGACTATTTCCAAATATGTTTGCCCTTCTCTCTCTGAAAGTAGTGGTATCTCATATATTGCTGATCCAAGTTGTGAAAAGATAACAGACTTCATATACAATAATCACAAGTGAGAAATGTGACTGGTTTGCATGGAGTTAGTAGAACCAAATTTCTAACCTATTGTATTTTCATCCTTCTTGAGTTTGGCTATGAGATCTTTGATGTCTTATAATCTTCTTTGAAAATGTCTTGGGTGATGATAAGACACTAAACCAAAAATCACCTGGTTGTCATTAAATCAGTTTTGACTCATGGAAACACCATGTATTTCAAAGTAGAGCTGTGCTCTACTGGGTTTTCAAAACTGTGACCTTTTGAACGTAATCCCCAAATCTTTTTCCCGAGGTGTCTTTGAGTAGATCTGAACTTACAACCTCTTAGTTAGTAGTCAAGTGCTTAACCATTTGTACTACCCCTGAGAACAAGACTTTGCCTCATCAGCTCATTCATTCCTAGTGCTCAACCTAGAGTCTGCTACCCAAATGTGTTCACACACAATTAGGGAAGAGACAAGGATGGCTACAAAATAAAGACATAGCCTAATCAGACTTTGTCTGTTCCTATTGTCTCATAAACAAGCACATATTTTGCTTGGAAGTAGGTGAAAACTATCTTTAAGTTAATATTTAGAATTTATGTGATTTATAGGAAAATATCCGTATTTCCCTACTCTTTAATTTCTCACTATGCAAAAATGGAATCCTGTGACATCATCATGTCTATACTTGACTAGTCTATCTTAGATTGATGACAATTATATGGCAAAAAATATGACTCAAAACTTAGTTCACAGAAAAATAATCTCACTACAGAATAAGAAATTACAAGATAGAGGAGATAAATTCATATAATATCAATCTATCTATATATTTATCTATTAAGAAACCTGGAAATTAACTCTGTGGTTGAACTTTTAAACTTTTAGTTTAACAGTAACATATCTATGTCTATAAGGGGAACAACACCTCCAGGGAAATGCACACTCTTTAGAACAATCAACCATATGAGATAAAAAAAAAAGCCAGTAGTATCCCAGGGATAAACCGCAGAAGAACAGGAAGGGATAGAAAGGAAGGCTAGATGGAAACAGGAAACACAGGAACAAGTGGAAAGAGTTTTGTTATATTGTGGGATTTTTAATCAACATCATAAATCAAAATGTGTATGAATTGTTGAAAACAAATTTTCTCTATAAACTTTGATCCAAACCACAATAAAATGGAACCAAAAGAGAAATAGAGTTATAATGTTCTGTAAAAATCTATCGACTAAGAATTGCTATCCTATTTTGAGGCTGTGAAGTTTGACAGAGCTGTTTACATTTTCTCAATGAATAGGGTTTTTTCCTCTCTCCATAAAGATCTTTTATACTTTTAAGATCAAATTTATGTTTCACTTTTGTAAACTTCAATTTAATTTTTTTTTAGGTATACAATTATAAAAAGAGCAAGGACCATGTGGGGATGGCTATATCTGACCCTTATCAACTTCACAAAGAGAAACTGTCCCCATCCACAGCATCAATAATGCCAAACTAATTCCCGTGGAGTCAGACACGTCTATCACACTCCCATACCTCTTTATACTCATCTCAGCACCAATCTTAGTGCTTTTTTGGGACCACACAGAACTATATTGAGGAAGTAAAAATGTTATAATCCAGATTAATAACAAAATACAGTCAAGACAGCTCCCAAAATGTGTGTGTAGTCACCTCAGCCTCGAGTCATGTGGCTTGGTGTTCCCAAGTTTCAGTCCTGTCAATATTAACTCTCCCCCACCCTCCCCACAAGGTCCCATCTAAAGTCTCCAGTTTGGCCATAGATACTGCTGCCATAAGTATGAATGGGACAAGAAGGGCATCCTGTATTGTTTCTTTTTTAATGGTTCCAGAAGATCTGTCTGCCTCTCATTCTGGCTTGCTTAATTCAATAGTGAGACTGGTCAGTCCCCTAGTGGATATGTTAAAACACTCCATTCACATAGTCTTACCCATTGACATAACAACCTTTGTCTTTAATACAATAAGTACTGCAGAATAAAATAAAGATACTCTTTTGGCTAGGAAAGACAATTCTGAATGGTAACTTAGAAACTCAGAAATATATATACAAAAAATTGTATATGTAAGTAATACGTGTATGGCTTGGTGAATTTTCATAAAGTGGACACAACTGTGTAATCATCACCCAGATCAAGCACTAGACCATCAAATGTTTTCCTAAAGTCTCTCTCCTGTTTTCTTCAGTCATCATACTCCAAAAGATAACCAACTAAATTGATTTTATCACCATAGATTTTTGCTGTTACTAGTGTTCATCAAGTTGGTTCCACTCACATGTGTCAGGCTACAATAGTTCCACAGGTTTTTCAGAAATAGATCTCTAGACCTGTCTTCCAAGAAGCCTCGGAGTATATGTTGTTGTTGTTGTTATGTGCTGTCGAGTCGCCTGCGACTCATAGCGACCCTATGTACAACAGCCCTAAACTCCGCTCTGTCCTGTGCCAATCGCACTGTCTCTGACACTCCCATCCCAATTATCTCAGTCACTGAATCAATCCACCTCATAGAGGGCCTTCCTCTCCTGCGCTGTCCCTCCACCCTCCCAAGCATGATGTCCCTCTCCAAGGACCGGTCTCTCCTCACTACATGTCCGAAGTAAGTTAGACGGAGCCTCA